GGATTTATAAATACTCTGTTGTTTGTATATACTTCACAATTAATCAAAAGGTTTTTTTAAAGATTTTATTTATTTATTTTTAGAAAGAGGGGAAGGAAGGAAGAGAGGGAGAGAAACATCAATGTGTGGTTGTCTCTTGCGTGCACACAACCCAGGCATGTGCCCCAACTGGGAATTAAACTGGCAACCCCTTGGTTCACAGGCCAGCACTCAATCCACTGAGCCACACCAGCCAGGGCACGATTAATCAAAAGTTTTAAACATAAAAAAAATAACCAAGTACAATGTGTGATTCTGGAATAGATACTGGTCAAAATATGTTTGTTTATTTATTTATTACATTTATTATTTATTTATCTTCCTCTATCAAGGCATTCCTGGAGCAACTGGGAAAACATAAATAAGGCATGCAGACTAGATAAAGAGGTGAATGAATGCATTACCCAATTGTGATAAATGTACTACAGTTATGTAAAACAGTGTTCTGGTGTTTGGGAAATAGACAATGAAGGACTTAAAGGTAAAGAAAAATCATGTCTGCAATGCAATCGCAAATGGTCCAGAAAAAAAATACCCATCACCTAAATTCCTCCAATGTTAACATTTTGCTACATTTGTTTTGTCATCCTCTCAAATGGGACTACATCAAACTAAAAAGGTTTTGCACAGGAGGAGAAACCATCAACAAAATGAAAAGACAACCTACTGAATGTCTATTTGCCAATGATACACCTGATAAGGAAGTAATATCCAAAAATTTTTAAGAACTCATACAACTTCACACTGAAAAAATAAACAATCCAATTAAAAAATAGGCAAAGAACCTAAACAGACACTTCTAAGAGGACAGACATACAGATGGCCAGTAGGCATAAAAAGATGCTCAACATCACTAATCAGACAAATGCAAATTAAAACCACAATGAGATCTCACCTCACACTTGTCAGAATGGCCATCAACAATAAATCAACAAACAATAAACGTTGGTGAGGTTGTGGAGAAAAGGGGACCCTTGGGCACTATTGGCGGGAATGCAGATTGGTGCAGCCACTGTGGAAACCAGTATGGAGTTTCCTCAAAAAATTAAAAACGCAACTGCCTTATGACCCAGTGATTCCACTTCTGGGAATATATCCAAAGAAACCTGAAACACTGATTCAAAAGAATATATGGACCCCTATGTTCATTGCACTGTTATTTACAATAGCCAAGATTTAAAAGTAGTCCAAGTGCCCAGCCGTAAAGAAGTGGATTAAAAGATGTGGTACATTTACACAATGGAACATTACTCAACTGTAAAAAAGAAGGAAATGTTACTTTTTGCAACAGCATGAATGGACTGGGAAAAGTAATATGCTAAGTGAAATGAGCCAGTCAGAGAAAAACTGATACCACATGAGTTCACCTACATGTGGAATCTAATGAACAAAACTAAACAAAATAGAAGCAGACTCAGAGAGACAGAAAACAGGCTCACAGCTATTAGACGGAGGGGTGTTGGGGGGCTAGGTGACAAAGGTGAAGGGATTGCCCTGCGAGTGTGGCTCAATTGGTTGGAGCATTTGTCCTGTACAATGAAAGGATGTGGGTTGACTCCTGGTCAAGGCACATACCTATGTTGAGGGTTTGATCCCCAGTTGGGGCAAATACAGGAGGCAACCAGTCAATGTTTCTCTCTCTCTCCCTCTCTCTCTCTGTCTCTCCCCCTCCTCTCCCATTCCTCTCTAAAAGCAATGAAAAGATGTCTTTGGGTAAGGATTAAAAAGAAAAGATGAAGGGATTAAGCAAAAGAAAACAAAACAAAAAAAAACCCTCATAGACACAGACAACAGTATGGTGGTTACCAGAGGGAAAGTGGGGGGAGGCAGAAGGTAGAAGAAGGTACAGGAGGGAAAAATGGTGACAAAAAGAGACGTGACTTTGGGTGGTGAGCACTCAGTACAATATACAGATGATACAGAATTGTACACCTGAAACCTATGTAATTTTATTAACCAATGTCACTCCAATAAATTCAATAAAAATAAAAAATAAGAATAAAATAAAATAAATTTAAGAAATCCATAAAGTTAATCAGAAAGAAGGAGGGAAGAAACAATGTAGAATGGATGGAGAGGAGGGAAGGTGGGCTGGAAAAAAGAAGGGAAGGAAGCCAGGGAAATAGGCAAATTGCACCCCGGCTGCAAAGGGTAGCCAGCAATTTTGAACTCCAGCAAAACAAAAACCAAAAATACACATACAAAAAAAAGATTAAAAATGAAATAAAGATGTAGATGCAGGTAAGACCGAGGAGAAACAGTAATAGACCTTGGCTTCAACACAACAGATTCCACCTCAAACTGCTTTACCACTAGCTGCATGGCCTTGGGCTTGTTATGGGACCTCTCAGTCTCAATGCTCCTACCCATAATCACGCTGGTCGCAGCATCAGTCCAGGGTTGCTAGGAGGGTTCTCCAACAGTAACAATAAAACAGTGTATTTGCTCAGCACTTACTACTCGCAAACATTTTTCCATGCACTTATGCTGAATCATTGGATTCATTCATCAGCCTTAAGAAGTTGATGACACCTTAAGCCTTTTACAGTTGGGTAAACTGAGGAACACAGCCTATGAAGAACAGCTAAGGTCACAAGTCAGCAGGGGCTGAGGCCAGAATGGGCACCCAGCCTGGCTGCAGAGAGGAATCAAGGCCCAACCCAGGCCTGGAGCAAAGGATCACTCAAGAAGTAGCAGTTGGCAGGAAAAAGGTAGGAACTTAGGTCCACTGGGAGACCATGTTTGTTTGGTGCTGACCCCACCCCCCAGCCAAAGAGCTGTGGAACCGTCCAGAGGCCAGTCCCTGCACCCCCAGGCAAGATCCTGTCCACCCCCATACACTCTCCCTAAAAAGGAGCAAGGAGCCCCTGGGGCAGGGGGGCAGGCCGTGGTGATGGACACTACACCAGATGCTGCTACTGCTATAGCCCAGCTCCTATGCAACACCTGGGGGAATACTACCCTCTCCTTCCTTTGTAAGACTTTACTGTTAATACATTTAAATAAATGTTGGATGTTACCATCACCACTGGCACCCAGGCATTCACACTGCGGTAATGGCTTGCCTTATCACAATACCATCCACTGCATGTGAGGACTTGCTGCATGCCAGGAACCAGGCAAAACATGTTACTCAGATCATGCCCTTGAACCCTCACAGCAGCCCTAGGAAGCAGATAGGATTTACGACCCCTCTTTTAGAGATTTAAAAAAAGAAAAAGAGATACTCCAAGAGGCACATGCTCAAAGTGACCCCAGCAACAAGTCAAACCCCGGACGCAGCCCCAGGGAACTGGAAGATCGCTTCAGAAAAGGCCTACGTGTGATACAAAATCCAACCCATGCTCCAGTGACGGACGTTCCTCACATTCTCCCCTTGGCCACAGAGCGTGGGATCTCTCGGATCCCAACCTGGTCATCCTGAGAAACCATATAAAGACCTGCCCTTGCCCTGGCTGGTGTGGCTCTGGATCGAGTGCTGGCCTGAGAACCAGAGGGAGGCTGGTTCAATTCCCAGTCAGGGCACATGCAGGTCAGGCCCCCAATAGGGGGCATGCAAGAGACAAACCACACACTGATGCTTCTCTCCTTCTTTCTCTCTCCCTTCTCCTCTCTAAAAATAAAAATCTAAAAAAACGTAAAAACTGCCCTCACAGAACAGGTCTCCCCCAGTCTGCCCCACAAGCAGACCAGGACACCAAGGGCCCCTCACCTGGAAGGCTTGTCCATCTCTTCTCTTGGAGTTTTGAGGCCGGGGCTGTTTATTTTGCTTCATCCTGTCCTGGCATTTGGTGCAGCACTGTACACAAGATGGCTTAACAGGGAAGCCAAGGCCCCTGGGGGTCTCAGCACCTCAGAGAGGAGCGCCAGCCCAGCTTGCTAATGGCCAATTGTCTCACCATAGCAACTCACACCTGGGCTGCTCTAGCCCAGCAGCACCTAAAAAACATAATTAGTTTCTCGTTCTCCACTCCAACTAGACTTTGTGGCACACAGCTAACTAGGACTATAGCCTATCTTGCATACGAAGAAACAGGCTCACAGGTGCTGAGTCCAACTAACACTCAATTGATACACTACATGTGCATCCCCCTTTTACACGTCTTTCTCCATCTGTGCGCACCAGCTGACCAACATCAACCTCCAGAGGGGTACTTAAACTTCACGGGCTCCTTTTCCCTGAGCAGGATAGAGGCAGCAAGACACGAGGATTATAGGATTGTGGCATACTGGGTTTGGGATATCTGGCTAAGTGAACTCAGGTAGACCTTAAGACTATGTAGGGGAGATGCAGTGTTAAGCTTCCAAGAGCAACAGGTACAGGCTCCTCCAAAAGCGCCAAGACCGAGGGCAGCTATGTTACCGTCACAGGGCCACTACCAATCAGTCCTTTCCCTGGGGCCAAGTCCTTTTCCCGAATGTGGCTTAACTGCAACATGACAACTTGAAAACCATGGAACAAGGTGCTAGAGAATCACAAAGGCATAAAGAACTGGGAGAATCAGCCCTGCGATTTTTGAGTCCTGAATCAGCTTCCCAAGAGCTGCAAGAAATTGGAGGTGGCTGTTTCATTCATCGAGCTTTTAAAGCACCTCAGACACTCCACTCATTTCAGAAACGAAGGTTTAGAAGAAACTCTTTCACTATGCCTTTGTGGCCCCTGGACCAGAGGAGTGGAAGTCTGAGTCCCCACTCCACACTCAATTAACCGGAAAACTTGAAGCGGGGCCCAGAAACCTTTGAACAAGCCGCCCAGGGAATGCTGATGCACTGGAGCTGGATACTGGGGCCCTAGGCCTTGCCTGCCTGGTGTCACCACGGGCATTCTGCACCATGCTTGTTGAATGACTGGAATGACTTAGTGTCCAACCACCCACCTTTGCACGTGAGCCAGGCCCACCCATCTGACCTGCGAAGGAACAAAAGGGACACCAGACTGTTGTAGAGAAATACTGATTTTAATTCAACATAAAGTAAACTCTAGGCATCTTTCAGCCTAAAAAAATAGCAAAACTGTTGAAACAAGGCACAATTTTTTCCCCATTCTTGTTACGTGACTACAATTACAAAAAAATCTTTTTACGAAAATGGTAAAACAAAAATAGAAGTCAGGTTGTTTGTTTTTTAAAAAGTGTATTAAAAATTCTCACAAGACTTGTCAAAGTTACTCCTTATTCTACAAAATAGCACCAGTAAGATGACTAAAAGGTGTTAAAAACCATTACAATGGCATTTCTGAAATGCAGCTTTTGTCCTACCTCCTGTTATTCCTAAAAAACGATTTATCATGGAATAAGACTTTAAAATCTCTGGAGGGAGGGTTGAGCTTTTATTGCAATTTTCCCCCTGCTATCTCTAAGATGAGGGGGCTGTGCTTCTGCCCTGGCTGTCACTGCTTCTGAGTTTAGAGAAAGGCTGAGGGATCAAGGTCATACTTCTAATAGGGAGGTGCTGTGCCTGCAGAAGTCTGGAGGGTGCATTTGGGAGGGTCGTTAACTAAGCTCCCCCCACCCCATTTCACCCCCCACACATAGAAGAGATAGCAAGACGCCATACCTGCCTGCATAATATGTCAGCTTATGACCCAAGTCGCCCCCTGCCTGAGCTCCCAGGGGGGTTCTATTGCAGTCACTGGGAGGGATTTCACGAAGGCTGGCCCTGCCTTCGGGTCTATGGGAAGAAATAGCCCTGAATGTGGTAAGGTCATCCCTGCTGAAATCATCGTTAGTGTGGAAAATACTCTCAGTGGGCCCCAACAGCGAATCCCAGCCCTTTATACTGAGGCTTGGGGAATGTGCTGGGTAAAATTCAAGCATAACAGAGACATCATTTCCTCTTCTGCCCTAGAAAGTGTCCTGGCCCCTTAAAATGTCCCTTTGCTACGTGTCTAACACTGCACACTCCTGGAAATAAGTCGTCACAGACGTTCGAAAGAAAAGTCCTGCAGTAACTGTCTCGGGTGACTTTTCAGCCTTAACCTGAGTATTGGAGAGCTGTTGGCACTGTGTGGTTTTGGTATATTAGCCATCGTTTCTGAGCAGTAAACCCAGGAGGTGGGGAGGGGTGGAGGGAGAAGGGCAGGGGGAGCCATCTTTACTAACTACTTCAAGTTTCCAAGTTTTAGGAGAAGACAAAATAAGCACCGTGTTTGGCCACTCCAAGCAGCCAGGTTGAATTGTGCGCAAGAAGGTGGCACCTTGGGCTCCCCCTGCCGGGAGGGTGTCAGGTGGCTCTGGTGAGGTCCGTGGCGTGACCCCACACAGCTGAGCTGAGAGAGGGCAGAGCCTGGGATGCACCGCCTGGGTTCTGGCTCTGCCCCCTCCACCCCAGAACCCCAAGGGAACTATTCACAGGCAAAGTAGTCCTTCAGGGGGGCGAAGAGGTGTCGGATGACAGGCACACTCCAGGACCTCCCGAGCAGCTTCTGGCGGGCCCCGCGGCCCATGTTGGACACGTCCGTGTAGTGTACGGGAAAGCCGAAGATCCTGGGGGGCACCAGAGTAAAGAGACAGGGAGTCAGAAGTGCCACCGCCAGCGTGCTCAGTGCCTCTGGTGTGAGGTGTGGGGGATCCTCACACCTCGGCCGACGCAGCACTGCTCTGTCTGCCCTTCGTCCAGGCTCACCAGGCCTCTGTATGGGCACTCGTGTTTTGTTTTGTTTTGTTTTGTTTTGAAGGTTCTATTCCCGTCCCTCCCCCTTTTCTTTAAGAAAAACATCTTAATTTCTATTGGAATTAACTTAAAACTTACAGAAAAGTGACAAACATAAAATCATACAAAGAATACTTATGTGCCCTTTACTCAGATTCACGGGTTGGTGTTTTGCCCCATTTCCTTGTCACTGGCACACGAGCCCTCTCTGGACCCCAGAGGTCAGAGGCACAGTTCTTCAGAACACAGGTGTTACCAATGAAGGCCTGGCTCCTCGGTGAGGGCACCTGTTAGGTGCTTCCACCAGCACAGCCACCGTGCTCCTGGCACAGGGCTGGTGCTCGGGGAACCTTTCTCAAATGAATGAATGAACAAAGTTTGAGTGAATGCCAGAAGACAGACAACAAGAAGACAACAGTGTACCGGTCTTCAATTCACAAGATGTGAGAAGTTAGGTAATTTCCTTGTAAGGAACACAGACACTTGCAAAAAACGAAGCTTATTTGCAGTCCTTGGATGCTCAGGCAATTTACATAAGGACGCTGAAGCATCTGTGTTCTCTTTCTCTTTTCAAACCCAGTTGCTGAATCAAAAGCCAAGCTGGACTCAACGGCAGATGGCAACCAAACACACCAAGACCCTCCTCCTTTGTGGGATTTTACCAGGCCTGGTAAGAGGTTACAGATATACCGGAACTTATTCTTACCCAGGTTTACCATCTAACACTAAAAATGACGCCAATGGGTCAATGCTAAGTGGGTATTAAGAAACAGGCAAAGTTGCAACACTTCAGGGCTCTGTCTTAATTTGTCTACATAATGACAGCCGTCTGCACCGCCCACGTATCACAGGTCTGGCCCAGCATGTTAGGCTCGAGTCTCAAAATACACTTAACCCGTGAACAGCACGAGGATTAGGAGTGCTGACTCCCCACTTCCATGCAGTTGAAAACCCAAGTATAACTTTGAGTCCCCCAAAATATAAGTACTGGTAGGTCACTGTTGACCGGAAGATTGACTGATGCCATGAACAGTCGCTCTGTGCTGACTCTGTGGTTGTAAGTGATAAAATAACACAAGCATCGTCATAAATTTTATTCACTTATGGCAGACCTAATTTTTTCTTAATTTTTTCAATATTTCTTTCCAGACTACGTGATTCCTCTGTGAGCTTTTCCCAATTGTTGCAAATCTCCAGGAAATTTTCATATATATATATGTATATATTGAAAAAAATCCACGTATGAGTGGGCCCACACAGTTCAAACCTGTGTTGTTCAAGGGACCACTGTATGGAATAATCCACAGCACAAATGGGCAAGGTTACCCAGTTTGTTTCTCATTAGAAGTTTTATACTAAGAAAATTACTGCTTAGTAAAGATTAAAACTAGCTGTAGAGCTGAAATACCAGGAATGAAGAAAATACTCTGTATCAATTCCTTTCAGACATAGCCAAAAAATGTAGAGAGGAATACTCATATCCCTTCTTACACTCTTAACAAAAATAAAAACAAAATTAACAAGAAAAACAAAAGGAATGAAAAAAAATTGCAACCAGAGTAAGAGAACTGAAATTTAAGAGCTGGTTCTCTGAATCAAAATTGATAAGCTACCAACTCAGCCAAACAGAGAAGGCGCGCAGGAAGGCACGTGGCTAAGCAGGACGCAGCTACAGCGGGTGGCTCGGCAGCAGTCTTCTGAGAAAGAGCAATGGCACGCCAGTGGGGCTTTCTCGGCTGGTTCTGCTGACACCCTACAGCCCCAGCATGCTAGGGCAGGCAGACACCGGGCCGGCCCAGCCCACGGGCAGATGGTGCTGCCTCATGACCTCATGTTCCAGATTCCTCCTCACCACCACCCTTCTGCCGTTTCTGCAAGGACTAAGGACTGACTCTGAAAAGGTATTGCTCCCAGCCCTACCAACGCAGAAGGTTGGTGGGCCCGTGTAGAATGGAGGCAAGCAAGCCCACTTGCGCTGCTGGCCTTAACCACGTTTCTTCCCCTTTCTGTGTCTGCAGCGTTCCCCTCTCCACATGCAGCCTCGCTCACCTTTCTAGCTCAGTGCACCACAAAACATCTTCTTTGCCATTCATGACAACAGGGAAAAGTTGGTTTTTCCCCTGTCTGATCGAGTTCGACTTGGTGGTTATTGTCTGTACTTTCTTTAACTGGAGAACAAAATGACATCATGGAGTGAGCACAGAAGGAAGGGTTCTGGGTTGAGTCGAGGCTCAGAAGCACCTAGGGGAGATGGGGGCAGGGGTGCACGTGGGGGGGAGAAGGTGGCAGGTCTGGGCTCCCAGAGGGAATAAGAAAAGGAGAGTTGGAAGAAGAACAAGCTGTGCTTCCCACAAACACCAAGAAGTTAATGCACAGGAAGGACCAGCTTCAGAGAGAACAAGAGATAAAAATGTGACCATGAACGAGATCACGTGAGTGCCAAAGAGAACACCAGAGTTACTGATCGAGCAAGATTAAGCAAAGCATAAAAACCCACCAAAGATTATAGAGGACAGTCAACCAAACCAGGGTTTTGATGAACCTTCGCCTATTGTTAACATTAAGAATTAAGTTTATGGACATCTTAATATAATTATCTATGCCTTGTCAGCAGATAATTTTTTTTTCCTTTGGCAAGAGCATTCACTCATTTTTGGGAGGACCGGCGGACATTATCTGCATCTGTACTGCGTGTGCATTCACAGTTGGAAAGTAGAGTTGCCTCTTCTCATACAGTGACTGTTTACCGAGGACCGCTCCTACTCCGTACTTGACAGACAGGACAGAACAATCATGTGGGGAAAGAGGCCCAGCACCAGGGAGTCACATAGCGGGGGAGAGGCAGGAACAAATGGCACCAAGGTCAAGTCCCCGCTGTGACCACATCTTACCTTTGCTGTCCTATTGAACTCCAAGCAGTCCTGCAGCTCGAGTTTATCATTCTTTGATGCTATCACAGGCCTGGGAACAGCCAAAACCCATTACTTTCTACCGTTTGTTAATGGGCCTCAGCCAGGCACCTCTCAAGGTGGGGAGTGAGGGCAGGGCCTAAGGCCACAAAATGTGCTTTGGCAATGGACTTGTTACAGACACACAATGACAATTATCCTGGCAGGAGCACAAAGCTGTGTGCCAAAGCTAAGGACAGACAAGACCCTTGAAGGGGCAAGCCCAGTGTCCAAAAATGAATGCTCCCCTGTCCCAAATTTTAGTATTAGTCAAAGCCAGGTTGTCAACGAGTAGAGCAGGATGGAAGAGCACACTGAAGCCTCAGTAGACCCCTCTGATCCCAGCTGCACCACTGAGCGATGACCTTGAGCAAGTAAGTCACACCGGACGCTGTGTCCCAGGAGCTTGGATTAGATCTTTGTTGGTCTACCTGATACAATGAGCACTTCAAAGCCGTGACTTGGTGGCTTACTGCTGGGGATGGAGCCACAGGAGGCTGAGGACTAAAAACAAGTGGGTGCAGGTGGGAAGGACAGGAGGTGGTTGACAAAGCACTAATTACCCTTGTAACTTTCACCATCAAACCTGCGAATGCAGAGACAGGCAATGCCCAGAGGGGGACAGAACTCTAGAAGCAAAGTGGTTGAGCAGTTACAGAGAACAAACCACCGGGAGCTCTGAATGCACCGTCAATCGACACCCTTGACACCCACCCTTGACACCCACAGTTCTCGTGTAACAAACTTCAAGGTCACAAACAAACCAGACCTAAGAATGGAAATGGTTTCCCTAACAGAGACCATTGAATGATACCAAACATTCCCCAGACCAATGATTTTCAACCTTTTCCATTTCACGGCACACATAAACGAATTACTAAAATTCTGCAGCACACCACAAAATATATCTTTTACCAATCTGACAAAAGAAAGGGGGCATTATTTTGATTCATTCACACCAGATGGCCATTGTTGTGTTGGCTGTTGTCATTTTTTTTTATTTGACAATCTGAGGGAAAAGAAAAGAGGGCAGTGCCCCTGACTAAAGTCAGGTATTGCATGTTTTAAAAATTCTTGCAAGCACACCAGTATGCCTCTTGTAGCACACACCAGTTGAAAATCGCTGCCCTAGAGTCATCACAGTCTTCCTTGACCTCAGCTTCCATATTTCCAGTGCCACTCTATACCTACGCCCAGATCTTTCTGTGAAGCCAAAGGAGCTGAGGGACCTGGAGAAAAGGACGCAGCATAGCCCTACCTATGTTGATTCTAGGATTTAGATCTAAACAAACTAAGGCTTTTAACCCACAGCCTGGATGTGGCTCTGTGGCCCCCAGCTTTATGCTGAGTCAATATTCTAGAACCCTGCAGAGCCAGCTACAGTGTTACAGAGCTTCGTTCTTATCACAGCTCAGGCAGAAAACTTTGTGGCATCTTTACTGAGTCTTCTTTTCATCTTACACTACAGCACATCCTGCACATCAGCAAATCCTGTAAGTCCAACGTTCACATTATCTAGAACCTGATCTCTCCTGCTAAGATCCACAGAACTCCCAGGAGTTGCAACCCCCTGGGATGCACTGTGTACATGAAGGGCATCTCCTGGGGCACCGCACCATAATCAGTCAGTTCTGTCCTCTGAACAACCAGCTCGTGTTTCTCTCCATTTCTGCCCTCATCCCACTATTATCTATTCCACCAGAAACTACCATGAATTTAGGACACTACCCCTTGGCTTAAAACTTCCTGTGAATTCCCAAAGTAAATCTAAGTGGTACCACGACCCATAGGCCCTACATAACTTGGGCCCATACTCTGCATTCTGTCCTCCCCTCCCAGCCTTCCCCAAATAAGGAACACTGTTGTCCGAACTGGTCTTTAAATTCCCTGCCACACCCCTTACCACCCCCTTTTATTTATTTATTTTTAATCCTCACCTGAGGATGTTTTTTAAATTGATTTTGCGGGGGGTGTGGAGAGAGAGAGAAACATCAATGTGAGAGAAACAGCAATCAGTTGCCTCGCATACACACCTGACCCAGGACCAAAGCTGCAGCTTTTTGGTGGACAGGGTGACACTCCAACTAACTGAGCCACTGGGCCAGGGCCCTTACCCTGTCCTCTAACTTTTGCCTGGAATGTTCTCTGAAATAACTACGGCTCCATTCCTACAGGCAGGTCCTTGCTGGCATGAGAAGCCTCCCCATCAACTCTCCCAGTGCAACCCCCTCCAGCCATGGCCCTGAAATCATTTACTGTCTTCTCTCCCCATACTCCATTAGCACATCAACTCCATGAGACAAGACGTAACTCTGACACGTTAACCATGCAATTGGCAGCAGGTACAACAGTGACTGCCACCGAGTGACAGCTCAAGTGTTGATTGCATGAGCCCATTTTACCCTGAACACAGCACTGCACCATTTGACTGATCAGCCAAATAAAAATGCAAGAAACAAACAAATAAAAAAAATCCTCCAAGCTAGTCCAGCACCTTCTCGCCTCCGTCCACATTTTACCAAATGTCAAAATTAATGCTTCAAATACTTCCCCTTCTAAGGGAGAATACTTTTAAGCTGAATGCATTTGCAAATGTGGGGTATCACATTTTGGATCTTAATTAGCATACCACACATCCCTGAAACCACATATAGAAGATAATTAACCCTCTGTAACTCGCTTTGATGGAAAATTGGGAAAGGCTCTTGGTTAAGAAAGACCGAGGGAGACAGGCTTTGGGTACCAATAGTCATCTCAGCTCTGCCCCCTGCCTGGTCACCACAGGCTGGTCCGGGGTTCCTTCATCTCAGGGAGAAGGGCAGTCTAACCATCCCCTTCCATTTCCCGGTAGGACAGGCAAGTGGGAGAAGCAGTGGGGTAGAGAGGATCGGCATCTCTGGCTGAGAAGACACCCATGTGTGCCAGTGCACAGCGCTAGAAAAACCAGGGCCCTGGGCAGAGCGGGAAACAAGTTGGAACAGACCGAGGCATCTTGGCCGAGATGCCCAGGTGGTTGTACGTCCTCACAGACGTCAACCCGTAACACCAGGGGTTGGTCTGGAGCCCAGGGTGGGGCCCATTCTCTGTCTCACAAGAGTAAACCTGTCAGGGCTCGCTCCATTAACTGCATTTCACTTGGCTGTTACCTGTCCCTCTCAGAGCCCCTTGTTACCTGTTCATCCCAGGCAGGTTGCCCCAGAAGTAGCGGGCCCGGTGAGCAGCAGATACTTTGATGGCATCAATCATCACTGGATTACACTGTCAGGGAGAGAAGAACAGCTAGCTGCTAGGAGCCCACATCAGAATCCAGGTAGCAGCCAGAGTGAGGGGCTTAACCTAGGCAGGTGGCAGGGATGCTTCCTGGCTGTGGGAGACACCTGATTCCTGCCAGCCAAGGGACCGATTCCCAGGGAGATCTGGCTGGGGGTCCGGCTAAGGGACCCCTTCCCATATTAATGATGAGGAAAGAGACCAGGTCCGACCTGCAGGTTCTGAGAAGGTATGCCCTGGGGCGTGCCGGATTGCTATGGAATGTACGTATAGGCAGCAAAAGTAGCTCAAAAACAATCCGGCAAGTCGAGCTCCTGGCTGAGGGAATACAGCGCTGGCAAAACATGCCCGTGCCACCCACCTGCCGGGTTCACGCAGCAGGAAAGAACTAACTAGCCGGTTCTATAACCTCTCTAGCAGAATTTTGGGCTGTAAAGCTTTGGGGAAAATTAAATAAGGAATGTGTATAAAAAATATTTACTACATTGCTTGATGCATATTAAGAAGTGGATACTGAGCTTGCCTGTGGCCCTGAAGAAGCAGTTCTCAGAATAAGGATGAGAAAAAACTCCCCAGAGTAAAAATGCTTAGTCCAATCTCCTGAGGCCTACAAAGCTAAGTGATGATTTCATCATCCCTGACCTCAGTGCGTCTGGGATGAACTTAAGAGATCAAATCTTTTTCCGAAAATATTTGAACCCAAAGAGACCGAACAAAAGGGAATCAACCCACTTGACTCCATTACTCTCGGACCCAGCCATTCCTGTCAAAAACCCAGAAATTATTCCCAATGTGGAAACACCCACTGACCCTTCCCCGCCCATGCAGTCTTGCCAGTTGGACCCTCGGTCCCCTCACCTCCAGGAACCGAGAGATGTCCCTCTTGTCGCCGACCTTCATGGCTACCACATTCTCAAACATCCAGAAGAAGGGCCGGTCCTCACCCTCCTTGGGGCGTGAATAATTCAGCAGGTGGTAGAACTCGAAGAACAGCCGGCCTGTGCCCTCTGGGCCCACAAAAGAAGACAGATGGCTGGGGTCACACCCACCAGCCCACCCCTCCACACTGAAACAAATGGGTTCCCTGCGATCGCCCAACTGAGGCAACACCCCAGGGGCCCTCCACCTGCCGTCCTCCAGACTAAGGGCACGGGCACTGAGCAGTGCAGTATTTTTAAGTATCTCTGGGGCCTGGGGATTCACAGCGTGGCAGGGACAGAGCTGACAGGTGAGCCTGGTCAGAAGCAAACAGCTCCTTCCCCGGCCACTCCTGGACCAGCACTCAGGAGACACGGGGTGTCCTTAGGCGATCAAAAGGTAGGGATACTCACCATACAGGCCTTTCCTGGCAGGGTTCACATTGGAGAGATCATTGCACGGGCTTCCACCGATCACCAAGTCAAAGGGGCCCCATTCCTCAATCTGGGAGAGAAAAAATGGTCTCAGGGGAGGGGAGGGAGTGAGGATGGAGGGGCTGACAGCCTGGGTTACAAGCAACCTGTTGAGAAAGGGCGCCTGCCGTGGCCACAGGTTCTCCTTTCCCACAACCCTGGGCACGGGGAAGTGGACAGCGTGGCTGTGAGAGTGTGCCGGGCTTGGGGCCTGGAGGAGGCCAGGGTGTTGGAGCCCCCAGGGGTGCAGGCTGCCCTCACATTTTTCTTTGTGATGTTCCTAACGTCATTCACATATTTGATGTTGCCTTCGTGCTTAACAGTGCCAACAGCAATGGACTCTTCACACACTTCCGAGGCGACATACTTCTCCACTTTGATGCCCAGTTCTCTGAGGACCAGGTACCCTGTGGGGTTGGGGAGACAAGAAAATGCACTCAGGGTCATCCCACCTTCAGAGATTCTAAGTCCAGTCCAGAACTTAGACCAGACCCAATAAGGACCTGGTAGCTCTCCAGGGACCCATGCAGACACCCTGAAACAGCAGGCTCTCCAGGGCATGGAGTTTCGTGAAGAACAGACGTAGTTATCAACAGGTACAGCCCACTGGTAGGACCTACTGAAACTGACGGGTCCACAGCCAGTGTCCCAGCGCAGTCGACCGCAAGACGCAAGGACAGGGATCTGTGCCACAGCCATGTTTATCAAACAACCTCAAAGTCTGGGGTCAGTGACCGAGCACATTTTCTACCGTGGTTTACCTGTGCCAGCACGGACAGGTCTTTAGGACCCAACGGGGTGGGGAAAAGAAGCAGCTGGTCCTGACCTGAGAGTCATTAAAAGCTGTCAGTGATTTGGGCAGGTGGACACTGGTGGACACACACAAGGACGAGTGAGGCCATGAGGCTAAGTGCACAGCAGCACATTTCCACCGCCTCCCGCTCTGGTGAAAGGGAGACATTCCTGATAATACATCACAGGGCGATTTTGAGGATGAAATGAGTTAAACCAGGTAAAGCTCCCAAGGATGACACGTACATTGACTATGCTCATTCTACCCACGTGGAAACCAGGGGAATGGAGATATTAGTAGGGAGAGTTGTCAATCTCTAATATATCTATACTTACGGAATAAAAAAAATAAAATAATAACTTTCCAAGATACCTGCACATAACTAAAAAATAAACTGCAACAGCTAAAATATGTCTATTATGACTTTAAAAAAAGACCAAGATGGCCAGGTAGATGAACAAGAAACCAGTGGTTTTCTCAGAACAGACAGGTAATCCCAGGAGTCTTGCTTGGCATTGAGGACAGACACCTGGACCAGGTGAGCATCCCAAGGTGAACTCCGAACTCACCTGTGGCAATCCCATCAAACAGGGACAAGACTCGAATGGGCCGCCTTCGGGCTGCAGGAATCGCAGGGTATAACTTGGGGGCTTCCTGCCAGGTTAGAGAAGGTTATGGAGGTCATGGAGGTGAAGGTGCAGGGGGAAGGGCCATCCTCCGGGAACGGAGTGAGTTGGTTGACCTTGTTCTGAGGGATTCAAACCCTTTGTTCTGCCACAGCTTAGCTGGGACCCCCTCGTGAGCTTTGGCAGAGTGGCCATTCTACCCTTAAGACACGGAAGGCAAAGATTCTGAGAGACAGAGGCGCACACACACACACACACACACACACGGACGGACACGACACCCTACACAGGGATGACCTGGGGCCTGCCACGCGGACCTGGAATGTCCACTCCCACTACAATTCAACCTCAGCCACGGCTCCTCTCCAGCAAGCCCCTGAAAGCACGTGGGAGGCCACGAAGGAGGGGAGGAAGGAGAACTGGGGAAGCCTGAGGACCACACACAGAATGTGCCCATCTGCCGGGTCTCAAGTCGGCCATCAGTACAATGCACCTTTCCACAAACTCTCGTCAACAGACTTCCAGAGTGTTCCAGATCCCTGACACGCTGGGGTGGGTGGTGCTGGGCGAAAGAGCCTTGGCTTACATATTCGAGACCCGTGTCGCTGGTGAAGAAGGACTGCAGGCGCACGTTCCAGTCCTTCCGGCGCTGCAAGACCCCGTGACAGCGCTGAGGGAGGCACATGTAGCAGCTCCAGGGCTCCTGCAGCTTGGCGTCTGCAGCCGTGCCTGCGCCCACCAGCACCTCCAGGCACTCCACACAGAAGCACCTGCGCCCGGGAGTGGAGAAAACGGGCCTTCGGCACCAGTCTTCCTCCTACATACCCCCCCCCTCCACGTAGACAGCAGCGCACTGCCTAAAACCGTCTCAGGAACCCAGCTGCTCCTCCCCATGGGCTGGCAGGTCCTGTGGTGTGATGCGGGCTACACTACCCTCTCCCTTGAATACCTGTGCACCATCAGTCCACAGGCTCTGCACAGAAACCATCCTATCCTGCAGGAGTAGCTAATCCGCAGGGAGCCTTGCACACGCTGCTCCCCACCCTCAGACACTCCTGCCTTAAACACATGAGAACCGCAATCCCCGCCGATAGTGGCTGGGTCTTGTTCCAGGTCCTTTGGCTTTCAAAAGAGCCGGGGGGACTTCTGGGGCTGTAGGAACCACGGGCACAACTTGGGAGCCTCGCCCATGCCGAGCACTCACCGGCAGCAGCTCGTGTTGCTGCACAGGAGCAGCTCGCGGCCCTCACAGCACACGGTGCAATAGGACTGGTAGCCATCATCGTCGTACATGTAGAACAGCTCGAGGAACCGGTCCTGGTGGCCAGAGAGAAACACTGGTGACACGGGAGACCAGGGGCCCCCAGGCCCCGCTTGCTTGCTGGCTGAAGCCTTAGGACGCAGTTACAGGGCAGGTCACTGGTGGCTCTGTGCCCTTTACAGGAAGGCGGGCCCAGGGTGTGAGCGCCGCGGCAGATGGCCTCCTGGGTGGCACACCTGCCCTCAGAGTGGAGGGTGTGCTGATGGGGGCCAGGGAGGGCTTCGCTAGAACCTTCCCTGGTGGCTACGTGCAGGTGCTTTTCTCTGGCACGTACAGGGAAGTCGTGGAGGCGGGAAGGGGCAGGAGAGTCAAGGGTGGGGATAGGACTTACCCGGCAGGTCTGGCAGAGCCCACCCTCAAAGAGAGGGTGGAAGGACACAGGGTTTTTCCTACCACAGGACAAACAGCTGTCTGTAACAAAGACACACACGCAGCTTGTGACGGTTCGGGGCCCAATGCCAGCTGCCGAAGCCTTGGGCCTAATGTTCTTGAACATGCACTCCACACTGCAATCAACCGGGGACTCTTCGTGCTTTCTTCTCTTCAAGAAAGCTCCCAAGCTACCACGCCCACCCCAGACTCGGGGCACGACACTGAGCAGAGGCCCCTCCAGCACAGGGACAGGCTCGGGAGGCCTGGTACAGACACCTTTGAGACTCTAAAAGACTAGGACTTTAGACAGTTCATGGTGACGCCAATTTGCTAGCTGTCATGTCATGAAAGGACATACCCAGGAGCTCACTCTACACGCAGCCAGCCATGGCTGCAATTTCGGAACCCGGGTCTTTAACTATCAGGCTACTCCGGCTTCCCTTCATGTCAGGTCAGGACTGACTCACATCGCTAACCAGATGGACAGGGCCTTTAAAATTTGAAGTCCAAGCCCTGGCTGGCGTAGCTCAGTGGATTGAGCGTGGGCTGCAAACCAGAGTGTCGCAGGTTCGATTCCCAGCCAGGGTACATGCCTGGGTTGCAGGCCACAGCCCCCAGCAACCGCACACTGATGTTTCTCTCTCTCTCTCCCCCTCCCTTCCTTCTCTAAAATAAATAAATGAAATCATTAAAAAAGAAAAGAAAAGAAAAAAGAATTGAGGACAAAGACCAGACATATTTAAAAAAAAAATTTGAAGTCCAAGCATCCCCAGCCAGCAAGCACACAGACAGGCAAAGGAGTCTTTGGGGACGGGAGAATCATGGGCCAAGGTTCCCAGGATCATCAGGGGCTGCTCCAAACCCAAGCTTTCCCTGTGGCTATCTGGGTCGGGAGCCGGATTTGTTCTTCCTAGCCAGCACTGAGTAACGCTCGATAAATATTTGACCAAAGGACATTAGGTGGAAGAAGCAAGGGAGTCCATCCTTCCTCGCACTCTCTGAATCCCCTTAGAAAACGTTCTGGGCAGAGTTTTGATTCCAGTGCCAACTCCCAGCTGGGACAAAGGGGCGAGAGTTAGCTGAGAGTGACCATGATGCAGTGTGTGTGCCTTTCCCCTCGAAGCCGGCCCAGTGCTCGTCTGTGAAGGCTCACAATGCCATAGGTCACGGCTCCAGGTTTGGGGCTCTCCTGGCCAAAGGGGCCTAGTATCCACCCTGCCCTCAGCTCGCCCTGCCTGCTGACTTAGGTTAGGGGCGGAGTCAGTCTCAGCAAACAACAGGCAAGCTGTTCTATAAAATGTAACGAACGTCTGTGACAACGCCCACGTGGGCACCTGAAGTGAAGGCACAGGGCTCTGAGCTAAGCCCCAGTGGGGTAGACAAGCAAGAACGGGGAGCAGGGAGGACAGTGAGGGAGAAAGCATTACCTTCCAGACTACTCTTGTTGCTGGCAACGTCCAAAGCCATTTGCTCTGTTGAGGAGAGAAGGTGTGAGACGGGGTCGGGAGCCCTTACTGATCAATGAAGCCGACCCCGGTACTGAGCGGTCCTCACAGCCGGGGCCACTCCTAATGATGGGTAGTAACAGTGCCCGGGCCTCCTCACCCCCCACAATTCACCTCGACTCTGGTCTTCTTCTCCTCGGTCTTTGCCATTGTTATAGCAATTCGTCTTGAGGCGCTTGGGTGGGGGGCAGTAGTCAGCGGAGGCGGTGGAGTCGTCGGCTGCGCGCCTCCGAGTCTTGCTCTCTGTGGGAGCGAAGGAGACGACAGCCACAGCTGGTGGGAGGTGCAGGGTGAACACAGGCCTGGGGCAGGACACGGGCCTGGGGGCCAGCTGCCTCTGGCCCGTGACGGGGGTCCACACTTGGTGCCATATGGCCCCACTATGTGGTGTAATTCAAAACACCCATACTGAACATCTTTACAGGGTTTTAAGCAGCTTTCGATGTTTAGACCCAGCACAAAGAACATTAACCAAAATAATCCACAGCCGGAACCCTGAAACATTTCTCCGTGATGCGCAGCTCAGTGGCGCACAGCCACACGCAGCTCCCAAGCACATAAACTGTGGCTCGTGTGGCCAAGGGACTCCGCATTTGACACACAATTTTAATGCAAATTCTTAAATTGCTGATGGATCCAACTGATTAGTTCAATTGAAACTTGGTCAGCTGAAAATTTGGAACTTAAGACATCTGTGAAAATACATTATCAAGTATTTCTAACAAAAATTTCACATCCAAAGAGATGTTACAAAACACGTAAAACATGACATCTTGAAAATATTACTAAAAGGAAATGTAAAATATCTTAATTTTTATACCATTGGAAATGCTTAAATGTTGGAAATACCGGATTAAATTCAATGCATGGTTAATACTAATTGTACCTTTATTTCTTTTCCTCTTTTCAATGTGGCTACTAGCACATTTTTAAATTACTTTATGCGGCAATTCTTTACATTTCTTTACATTTCTGCACAGTGTCATCTATAAGGGACATGGTTAAGTTTGACTCTGCCCCTAGGAAAGAAACTTACGCAGCCATTAAAAATCATAAGAACGCTTTAGTGACAAAATGACATTTGACAGTGCTTAGACGATGCATAGAGAGAAGGAGAGCAGGAGTCCAACGAGTGTGCAGAAAGAGACGGAATGGCGTGCACACCCAACAAGGTAACCTGGACAGAGGCCTCGTGACGGCTGAGAGTGAAGGGGGTGGAGGAGCTCAGGCTGAGAGTTCTTTTCCAGTGACCACTGCATATGCAAAGACGTTGAAGGAAAGTGCAGAGAAAAGGGTGCATAGTCGAAAGACGGGAAGGGAATACCGTATTTCCTGGATTCTAAGCTCCCACTGCCTGCACGACGCACCTTCGCCTTATTAACCACTTTTAATGGAGCGGGGAAGGGAAGACAAAACAAAACAGAAAACACTACGTTAAATGTATGAACCATAAGACAGATAGATCCTGGGTTTGGGGCCTCCCGGGTTTCGGAAAGTGTCAATGTGAAACTACACATCTTATAATGGAGGAAAGGCACTGTCGGTCAGAATGTTAGGATGGGTGATTTCTTCCTTCTGGGTGGAGGTGGCTCCTAGGTTTCAGTTTCTGTGTGTGTGTTTTCTAACAATACTTGGAAAGTTTTCTCCAATGAGCAAAGCTTAATTATATTTTCCCTTTTAAACGTAACGGTACTAGTGAAGACTCCATCTTGATCTGTTTTACTAAAAAGTTTTCACAGTGGAATCGATCTCAGCCCAGCAAAGCCAGAAAGCCTGGGCGGTCCGTCCTCCCATAGCCCTGGGAGTTCACAACGGGGTGAAAGAGCAAGTCTCTGAGCCTCGGCTGTCACAAAGCTGGGCGGGGGGGACGAAGGGCAGCAGGAGTGGCTGCATCTCCCAGGGGAGCTCCCACAGGGACCCATTCCCACCTGGTTGTTTGTTGTTGGGTTTGAGGCCCTCGATCCCAGTGGGCTTGAAGCCCCCATGGGCCCACTCCAACATGGGCTTCAGCTGGTCCTCCAACGAGTCTCCGGGGCTGTTGGGGAAGGTCTTGCCAGCCCGCACCCTGGCTTTCTGGTGAGATAAAGGTGAGTCCGTGATGAACAGGAGGGATGGGTGCACCCCCGGCAGTACCCAGGGATTCCCCCAGCTGGGGCCCGGCGTTCCCCTTCACACTGGGCCCTTTCATAGCCAGGCAGCTGTCCCGGGTATGGTATGTGTCAGGGAGGAGGGGCCTGTGCAGGGAGACAGGCAGGAGGCTCCGGGGAAGAGTGAAGTCTCCATGCAAACACCAAATACGACCTCTTCCCTGTAGGGAACTTGAGTGGTCAGCTCCCTCTCAAAGGGCAGAGGATCAGAATTAGCTCTGCTACTTATAAATACGGGAGCAGTATCATCAGCTATGAAAAAGCTCCAGATTTCTTATCTCATTTCCCTAATGAAGATGGGGAAGTGTCCAATGGTAAGTCCTATTTCAAAAGCACCGTGAGGATTCCTGATTAAGCACTGAGGCTGGTTCATAAATGCTGGGCAAAGGTTCAAGTCAAGATAAAGGAAAGGACAGACAGAGCCTGACGAATCCCACAGGCAAGGGAAGTGGCAGCTGGCCTCAGCTGCTGCCCACTGTGGGCCTTGAACAGCACCACTTAAAAGGAAGGAGGTTCTCATGGCTCTGGAAAAACACATTCGCTGTTATGAACACTGTCCACCACTTTCTGCTTCCTCATTCAGTTGGCAATACTGAGAGAGCCACCAGATGGAACTGAAGTAGCACTTGAAGTCATGAGGAAAGCCCTGGCTGGTGTGACTCAGTGGACTGAGTGCCGGCCTGCGAACCAAAGGGTCGCTGGTTTGATTCCCAGTCAGGGCACATGCCTGGGTTACAGGCCAGGTCCCCAGTAGGGGGACACATAAGAGGCAACCACACACTGATATTTCTGTCCCTCTCTTTCTCCCTCCCTTCCCCTCTCTCTAAAAATAAACAAAATCTTTTTTAAAAAGTCACAAGGGAGTTACAAATCCCATCGCTCCCTTCAGTCTGGCCCATCAGATAGACCACCATGCTTGCATTCACCTCCTGCCTGGTGACCTTATCCCTTCCAAGGGTTACAACACTGTGGCCTGAGCTGGCTTTCTGGGTTGTCTCTGGTCTTAACCCTGCTCTGGGGGCCAGGTCCTCACCACCCACCACTGTGTTACCTCCAGAGCGTGGTACATGGCCTTCCTATAAGAGACCAGCTTATTGAAGGTCGCCAGATTAAAGTGCTGGCTGAATAGCCCCAAGGCCACCAGCTTATCTGCGGAGACCTAAAAGAGAAAGACATCATCAACATCTACCTACAGCCTATGTCTGGGGTGCCCTGCCTCTCACAGGGCTATTCCCGGTGGTCAAGTTCAGATTCAAACAAACAGGAAAAGAAAAAAGGAGAAAACAGAAATGGTACTTATACTCCTGATGCACCCTATAGCCAGAAGCATGGTGGATGATACTCCCAGTGTGAGAAAGTGCACTGCTCTGAGTGGGAGTGGATAGAATTAGATGCACCCTGAATTTGTATATGTTTTAAGAGCGAATGACCCACATGGTCCCTGGAACGGGCCCCTTGTGGGTCAACTTCAAATTCTGTAGATGTTCTAACATTGGTGTTTGTCTATGTTCTCCCCTCCTTTGTGAGGGTGACAAATGGCTGTGATAACTACTTAGCCTTTTACTAATTGGAACTAATTTATTGCATGGGTTTAAAAGAACAGTGCTTGGCACAGAGTAAGCACGTTTTTGTCATTGTGAATTGCTGATTATCTGCCTTCCACTGGGATTAAAGATCCAAGTCCTGGCTCAGTGGACGGAGTGCTGGCCCACGAACCAAAGGATTAAAGAAAGACCCATAAAGTTTCATGCGCCAGGTCCCCAGGCCATGCAGAAACCAAGCAGGCCGCCTGTTGGAAGGGACAGAACTGGGTGTTCCGGGGTGCTGTTCAGACAGAAAGACACACGAGATGCTTCATTCTCCGCAAGATGTGCTCACACTCACCCCCATTTTGCACCTCTAGCCTGACCTCCCATGAGGAGGGTGTTCCCATTTTTGGTGAGAAGAAACTTGGGCTCAGCCCAGCTGTACACCGAAATGCAGGTGCTCTTCCCAAAGCCAAACTGCCCCAAGGCAACACACGCGCTCAGCACCAATTACAGCAGTCCCCTCCCATAGAGCTAACAGCCTCACACTTTATTTCATCAGAATCGGACCCCGTCTTGCAAAGTGCATTTTAGGCCTCACTGAGCCAAAGCAATAACAATACATTTGAAACCGCATCCCAGCGTTTAGATGCTTCAGGGAGAACAGGGACCTGGACATTTATCTGTCCTTTGGTTCCCTCTGCTGGCCAATGAGGACATCAGCATGCAGGGAGACTTGCCCTTTGGGAAGAGGGAGGTGCCCTTTGGGAACCTCAAGGCGTTCAAATGGCCCAGAGAAAGCCCAATTCATAGGAAAACCAGAACCTCAACTTGAGGTCAGATCCCACAAATGTGCTAGATGGTCCCTCATTCCGACATGTGCCTCCATCCTGGCCCAACAACCTGCTGTGTCCTCACCTAACCTCTGCGCATGCCGAATGAGGATTAGACAGACATTTCCAAAGGAGACCGTCACAGGGAAACTGCTGTCTGCACCATTCTGGTTCTGATCAACATCTGGAGATTCCAGAATGCGCCTTCAAACTGGTGTAAGAATCTAACAGTGTATGAATCCAACAGCCTAATTCATTTGTCTAACACTGCTCTTACGGGGCAGACTCTCAGGAAAGAGGAACTTAAAAGGGCTAACATCAATAATCAAGAAACCCTGAAATAACCAACTCTGCAAAGATTTTTACTACTGTCACCAGGCAACTTAGCCCCATCTCTAGAACTAACTAGTCAAAGGCACCTCTCCAGGGCTACATTGAGACCACCCTTCCTTTTCTGTCCCAGAGGAAGAAAACCAAGTGGCTATGGACCCAGAGGACTTCCCAGCTCTGTCTCCTATAAGCGTAGGCTGAGCTTTGGGCCCCATAAGACGCTGTGTGCCTGTTTAAGCAAATTAACAAGGGAAAATTTGTCATTCCTCCTAGATACACAGAGTCAAACATAGCCTCACCCATCTGGAAAAAGCAAGTCACAGGTCAGTATCTTAAAAGGAAAGGACGAAAAGCGCTGTGGGTTGGCAGGCGCACGAGAGCCTACCGCATCCTGGACTCACCTCGGAGAACTTGCCGTCGCCAAACCACTGGACCCACCGCATCCCGGACATGGCCTGGCGCTTGGAGGTGGCCTTCCAAGACACCACCATGGCAGGCCACCAGGAGAAGCCCTTGATTTTTCCCCACACGAGGTCCCCTATTCCAAACTCCTTCCCATCCTGGAAGATAAACCGCATGAAGGGATCCTAATGAGACTGACTACCTGGGCCAAGGAAAACTCCTGCCTGGCCCACAGACCCCGAGGGCAACCACCTCAGGGCCTCCTTCAAGTGCCCAGGAGACCTTCTGAGGAATTTCTGCCCACCTCCAACACTGTGTAACTATGAGTGGGGATGGCTTAAAAATAAGGGGGAGTGGCTGGGCAGGGCTGATTGCTTGGGAGAAACACGGGGTTTATTATATTAGATTTGTAACAATTCATCTAGCATCTAGGAGTGAAAGATGTCAACTAAAAGCTCACAGGAAATAGGATCAGAGTAAAATACTAACAACCAGCTGCATAGTCTCACCACAAGCCAGACGGGCCATTGTACAGCCATTAAAATGAAAAAACACAATTTTAGCCATTTGCACATAGCTTGCCATAAAATGTGAAGTACCCATGAAAATAAGCAAGTTAATGTATCTATAATACCATCTCCCCTGAAGTAATGTATATACAAAAAAGGATGTCTACATGATATATGTTCATACATATGTATTAGATATGTAGAAATGCTTGAGTTAAAACCTCAGTTTGTTGCCCTGGCTGGTGTGGCTCAGTGGATTGAGCACCAGCCTGTGAACCAAAGGGTTGCAGGTTTGATTCCCAGATCAGGGCACACGCCTGGGTTGCTGGTCAGGTCCCCAGTCAGAGGTGCATGAGAGGCAACCACACATTGATGTTTCCCTCTCTTTCTCCCTCCCTTCCCCTCTGCCTAAAAATAAAATCTTTAAAAAAAAATCCACAAAAAACACTCAGTTTGTTCATTATGAAGACTAGATGGATTATACAATATAATGAAATTACAGGCACAAAAAGGGAAACAACTCTAGTTCCTAGTAAGTAAAAAAAGCCAATCAACAATTATATGTATACTAGGGTGGGCAGAATAATATATTATGCATGCAAAGTACACGTTTCTGGGTATAAATATATAACATTCAGAAAAATCATGAATCAGGTGCTTGAGATATGTCTGGGAGACAAGGAGGGTAAAGGATGGCAGCACATGTGAAAAATGAACTTGAATTCACACATTATGCCAAAAGTGAAAAAAAAAAACTGCATTAACAGTCCCCTCTGGGCAAGCCCACTTTTCTCCTAAATTCAGCCCTTCCCAGCCGTACCTGATACTCGGTGCCATCTGTATCCCTGCCCTCTGCATCCACCTGCGAGAAGTCCAAGTTCTCCTGCTGGCTGTCCTGGGCCAGGCGGGTGTAGGGGGTACTGCTGCTCTGGGGCACCACGCTGTCATCCGTGAGGTCGATGGTGAGGTAGGAGCTGTCGGGGGATGGCCACGGTGTGCCTGCCGAGGCTACTGTCCGCCGCCTCAGGGACTGTGGACAGAAGGACACATAGCTGGGGCCACAGCAAACCAGACGGAAGGTCAGAGACCAGTGGCACCCCCGATTGCTTCCCAGGCAAGCAGAAGGAGAGGAGACCTACGTTAGAGAGTACAGAAGCCACTAAGAATGCTCTTCCAGGACCAAGTATCCCTTAAGTGGTGGGAGAAAGCCACTTCCATCAAAACCGAGAGTCGAGGACAAAGGCGTAACAATGAGGAGGGATACCCAGAGGCTCACAGAGCGGAGCTCAGAGAGGACCACTGACTTCCTAAGTGCTTACACTGTGTGCCCAACCTGCAACGGGAGTGACAAGTTGCGGTAACCCCTGGGGCTGCTTCAAGACAGTCAGTGAAGAGACCAGGGAGACAAGACAGTTCTGGAAGTCAGTGGTTTCAAGCTCATTTCCGAGGAGGGGCAAGAACCAAGTCAACAGGTAATTCTTGCATTCCCGCCACAGTTCCATCCAGGATCAGGCCAGGAGAAGTCCTCAGGCTTAAGAGAAGCTTACCCAGCACCCAGGAGAGAAAGGAAAGGCAAGACCCTGAAAAGGAGAGGAGTGTGAAGAATAGAAGCGGTTAGGGTTATGCACTGGCTGCTTTCGGTGGTGCAGTGAGAAGAAACTCTTCCAATTAGAGACAGGGGCAGGGGTCTAAGCATCCGGGAAACAAACCCTGGTAGCCGAGAACTCCACGGGGGACTCTTCCACGTGGTTGCGGCCCTGCCGGCCTCGGGTAGAACGGAGGGAGGGCCTGTACCTCTCTCGGCTAGAGGCACTGGTGCTATTTCGGGTGCGGACCTAAAAGCAAAAGAGGATAAGCACGAGGGCTGTGGTGACTGCAGGCACAAGGTCTCCTCAGGGGCCAAGAGGACTGGACTGGAGAGGCAGCCTCGGGTCAACAGGAGTACAGGAGGTAGGTGAGCGGGGGTGGGAGGGGCACTCTAGGCTGGTTAACTGCCCACCCAGAGACCCCATTCCTGTGAGAAGGGGTTAGGAAAACCAGCAGGGCTGACAGTCCACAGCAGATCCCACTGCCTGTCACAGCTGAAACTGGCACCTGCAAGTTGAATTGAAAAATAAAAACCAAGTTTACTCTATACCAAACACGTATTTTTCCAAAAAGCATCAGGGTAATTACTGCATTCTTCCAGAAGGTACTGAAATCCTCCAAATGAATGAGAAGCACTTGGGCTTCTTCCTGAAAATGGCAAACTTGGGGGCTGGTTGCAGACCTGTGTTCGAATCCTACACAAGAGTTAATGTTGGACCGTGAGTAAGTTACCAGAATCTTCTCATCTGTGAAAAAGGGGATGATACACGTCATATCTTAGAGCAAAGTGTGATGATGATACACTGCGCCTGCAACGGTCACCCAGCGTCAGCCAGCTCTCTAGCACGCTGGCTGACCGTGAGCAATACACCTTTTCCCATCTCCAGACCTCTACATCCCAGAATCCACCCACAGAAGGGACTCTCCTAGGGAACCGGCACTGAGCCAACCACCTGCCAACTCTGTCCCCACCCTTGGGCATTTCCAAGAGTGTTTTGTTTGTGTTTGTTTGTTTGTTTTTGTTTGTTAAGATTTTATTTATTTATTTTTAGAGCAAGGGGAAGGGAGGGAGAAAGAGAGGGAGAGAAACATCAATGTGTTTGCCTCTCACATGCCCCCACTGGGGACCTGGTCCACAACCCAGGCAAGTGCCCTGACTGGGAATTGAACTGGCTACCCTTTGGTTCGCAGCCCATGCCTAATCCACTGAGTCACACCAGCCAGGGCTCCAAGAGTATTTTAAGTGTTTAAAAACTGCCATGTGAAAGAAAACTTTCACGTGCTAGGTCATGGGCTGTGCTGTCATTTTTCCAATTTCAAAACATCTGTTCATCTCTCCCTTCAAAGCCCACCCAGGGAGATCCAAAACATGTTTTCTATGCAGGACTATGAGTGGCTGGAGGTGGTGCTTCGGCCCGGGGGGCGGGGGGACTTACAGCGGGGCTTTCGGAGCGAGTCCTGGTTTCCCGGAACAGTTTCGGCATCACTGGAGTGTCAGGGCCGTCTCCGTCTTCCCCTTCATCTCCATCACCGGTCAAATCCTTTGTCAAATGAAACATTATGAGCTTCGGGGTGTCATTAGCAAGTCACATAACTAAAATAGTTTACAAATGAACAGTCATATTGAAAACACTCATAATATTGGTCCGAGAGCTCTAAACATATTTTCACCTCATTTTCTTCCAAAAAGCTTTTACAATGCCTCCCACCACAGGATCATGAATTCAAGATACAACTGGAAGATAAAGCCCCAAGGGAAACAGAAAAAAAAACAAAGAAATGGCGTGATGGCAGAGGCACCATGAGGACTTGTGTGTCCACGCCACCTTCGGCTGATGTGTCTGCGCCTAACAGGAAGACCCGGTCAGTTTTCAGTGTCTGGGGGAAGTCGGATCTTCATACAATGACCAGGAAGAAATGGCACCGGCTGTGACAAGTCATGAAGACCCCCCTCGTGCATGCCCCAGGCTGCGGACCAACATCCAGCAAAAACTGAGGGCAGAAACAAGAGCAGTAGTGCATGGCCCAAGTTATGGCCTGGCTGGAGTCTCAAGAATTTGACTTTTCACCTGCCAATTGCATGGCCTTGAGTAAGTCCATTCCTCTCTTTAAAACTGGAACACAGCAGGGTTATAGTTAGAATCAAATCAAGCACACTTCGCCCAAGGCCAGCACGGAGGAAATGCTCAGACAGGAGAGGTCACTGCTCTTGCTGGTAACTCTCTGCCGGAACAGCTGTTCTGAGCCTCCCACCCAGCACACTGTCCCCACCCCATCATCTGGGTGCCCGCCACAACAGGAGATGTACGTGAGCTTTCATTGGCCTATGACTTTTACCCAAGATTTTGTCACTCATGGCTGCTGACACTGGTTCTTTGGAAACTGACAAAACTCTGGGATGATTAACATAAGGCAAAAGGCATAAATAATGTCAGGAAGTTTTTTTTAAATGGAAAAACTGTAACTTGGAAAAAACTGTTCAAGGAGAAACCTTGATATTGCAGGAAATGTTAAACGATACTGCAATAATTACTAAAATATTCCCTAAAACAAGCCAGGTAAGTTCTTTCCAAAGTGCATCAAAACCAGACAGATATGAAAAATAAAACCATCCATCCATTTCATTCATGAAATAGATGCTAAAACATAAATCAAATTCCAAACATAACGTGACCGAGTTGAAGTTGGATGCATTCCAGGAATAAAAGAACAATTTGCTACATTAGGAATTTATCAGTGTAATTGATCAACCACACTGAAAAAAAATTTCAAAAAATGTGCAGGAAGCAGTTGGTTCAAAAAACCCATAAGTTAGTAAAATAAATGTTTGATTTAAAAACACTGGGCACATGACTAAGTGTGAGATTGCTCAAAGCGCTCTGTGCCTGGCAGTGCTCACATTCGTCATCAACGAGTATTTATTGGGCATCAATGGAGGTGGGCCTTGTGTACCCCGTCTAATGAAAGCTAAAGGGAATTCCCCTGAATCCTGAAATAGATGGAGTAGAGCCCCAGTACCTGAGTATAACTTAGCAGGCTGGAGACCTCCCTCTTGGAGAGTCGTGAACTTGACCTGCGGCCTGTGGGGGAAAGAGAACCGGAGTCTGTTTTATGGAGAGAGCAGTGCCAGGCTGGGCAGTAGCCACGTCTTCCTTTGCTGATGGGCGGTCGGCCCTCTGTGGCCCCCCCTCTGGGCTGTGGCCTGGAGTCTCGCTAAACTCACTGGCATCCTCAGGGGTTCGCCGCTAGACAAGACACTCAGGCCCGTAGTCACCTCAGTGTATTCATAAGGCAATGGTTTACAGGACCAGGCACGTTATAGGACCCTCAACAATACTAAAAGTTCTCAGGGGAGAAGGCATGAAATCCCTCCCAGAGCTGGGCCGCTGGACTCAGTGGCCACTAGCTGCACTGACGTGAGCAATCACATGCCTCCCACATCAGCCACACTGCGAGTGCTCACACGCAGCTCGTGGCTACTGCAGTGAACAGTCCAGAAACAGAACAGGTTTACCCTTGCAGCGAGTTCTGTGAGATAGGACAGTTCAAGGAGTTGTCAACAATAGGATGAGGCAACAATACAGGGTTTTTAAACCAGTTGTGTTAGAAAATCCCAGTGGGAAGGACCCTAAGTGACAGGACTTGGGAACTGGTGAGGTGCGGGCAGGGTGGAAGGAAGCAAGCCTCAGCCCCTCCAGCCTGAGTGCTTTCCCTCCTGCATAATCAGTCCCGAGCAAGGGGCTGGGTCCCACTGAAGAAGAGCCAAAGACCCCAGCCGATGCTGTGACTAACCCCACTGTGACTAGAAAAAACAGCGATCATCACTTTGGGGTCACCTCCTCAGAGTCCCACCTGAAGTGAGAGGACAGGAAGGAGGTGTCAAGGGCCATGGCGGGCCTGAGAAATGCTCTTGGCTCTGCCTACATCCTCTTTGCTTCCCTGGGAGGTGTGGGGGTTGTCAGGGACCAGACCCTCTCCCCACACCTGCCTACAGACTGCTAGAAGGGTGTCTCACGTCCCAGCTGTGCTCCACAGTGTCTGCCCCACCCCACCTCCCCACCGCCCAGTCACCTCTTATCTCCGGGGTGCTGACAGCCTCCAGGATGGGGGGCGAGGGTGCGTCCTTGGAGTCGGAAGACTGGTCGCTGCAGCCCCCATTGGTGATGATGGAGTCCTCCCTTCCGCTGGCGTCCTCCTCTCTGTTGAGTTGTCTGGTGTCTCCCCTCATTGTTTCCTGCAGGAGGGTCAAGATGGATAGGGTAACAGTGACGCAAGGGTTAGAGGGGTCAGCACACCCTCAAACTTCCCACCTATGGCTCTATGTCCCCGGGTCAAGAGAGGCCCTAAGACACAATTCTCAGGGTGGTACTCCTTCCAAGGACCCGCCCCAGCCTGCCCCCCACAGCCTACCCCCTCACCAGACTCGGAGGCTCAGGACTTGGTTCCATGTGGCCAGGCAGCCCAGAGGCTCAGAAGCCAGCACCCAGGACAGAGGAGGAGGCTGGGCCTTGGTCTGAGGATCAGGCTGCTCTGTGCAATTAGCCGGCCACTTCAAACAATGCCATTTAGGACCCGCCTGCCCCAGCCTGCCCAGGCCTGCCTGCGGCCAGTCTTGGTCTCCTCTGCCCCTGGCCCCTTCTCCCTGCCCAGCCTCTGCAGGGCCTCAGGAAGCCAGTGCATTATTTTCCCTCCTGACCCCTTTGTTTGCTCTCTCCCTTCCCCTCAATCTCCAGGTCCTCTTCCCACCGCCCCCTCCTTCCCCACAGAACAGCTTCTCTCTTCTCCATGGCAGCACAAGCCCCGCCTTACCCCAACCTGAGGGGCCCATTGGTCTGCTTGCCTGTCACTCTCTCCTCTCCTCCCTCACCAGCTGGGGCTCGGAGTCCCAATTTCCCAAGAATGGAAGGAATGAGAAGGCACAGGCAAAGGAGTGGGGCAGTTAGCAAGGGGCACCCCTATCTGCTCCAGCCTCACCCCACTCTGGGCCTTGTTTCCCCGCTGCTGCCCCTCCTGGTGACTGCATCATCACTAAGCTCTTCAGCGAAGACCAGCGCCAGCCACGTCTTCACAAATAGGTTCAAGGGCTGTATGAGTGAACCTCGACCTGGCCCACTGCCCGCAACATTTGTTGGTAGCCAGAACCAGAGCCCTTCTCTCATTCATTCCTCCCAATGTCATTGTGGGCCCATGTTATAGAAGAGGGAAAGTGACACACAGACCTTATTACTCTTAAGTCAAAATCCCATTTAAGAAGTGGGTACAAGGCAAAATTGGAGCCTAGGTGCAGGGCAAGGCCTCAGACTATTTCTTAGTTTCCCCAAAACAGCACAAGAGGCATTTGGCACCACACCTTCATGGCCTGGAGCCAGGCTTGGGAAAATTTCCCCAGCAAAAGGCTGTCTATCGGCACTCTGCACTCCGGCCCGAGTTCAGTCTCAGGGACTTCCGGGTGGCGACAGAGGACACCCGATGCCAGGTGACCCACGGTGGCAGAGGACCTGCAGTGCCAGACTACTAGCTCCCCAGAGTAGCTTCTAGAAGCACCGTCTGGATTGCAGGGTGGCAGCAGTGATGCTGGTGATGTGCCCACCAGGGGGCGCTGTAGGACTCGGCCTGAAGGGGCCTACAGCGCCCTCAGAAGGATTCCCAATGTGACTGGGGGGATCCCAATTCTATCCTCTGCAACTGCCCATTCCCCAGTGGGCATAAGGCAACTAGACCTCTGACACTCTCCATATGGGCCAAGGACCAGTACCCTTTGAATCACCTGGGAACTAGTCAGAACTAAAGAATCTCTGGTACCATCCTAGCCCTACTAAATCAGGATACACATTTCCACAAGATCCCTGGGTAATTAATATGCAAGTTAAAGAAGCACTGTTCTGGTTATAAATGTATATACTGAAAGAGAGCACGGTGTGGTATTTACAGTTCCTCTTCCATTTTCTCTCAACACCTGTTGAGGAATCCCACTCACCAGCACCAGGGAAAAGGAAGGCAGCCTGATCAGCTGCTTCTTAGCACCTTTCATTACCAAGCCCTGACCTGGAAGAAGAACTGGCTAGCTGACCTATGACCAGCCCTGGTGAGAGCAAGCCGCCAGAATCCCAGGAAAACTGCTGGAGTGTGGTTCAAAGTAATAATTAATTTCCTGCATTTCACCCCAGGCCAAACCAGTGAGCTACGCCAATGGGTGGCCTGGTGCGAGGTGGGAAGCTGGGCCACGAGGTGCAAGACACCAGGAGGTCCTCGGGGAGCTCTCTGGAGGAGGCAGGGCTAGATGAAGTTTCTAATCAGGAACTGGTATCAGGCCAGATGCTGCATCAAAGGGCATGACTTCTATCTCATCTGGGAGACCCAGACTTCCCTCAGACAGCCTCTAACTGGGTCAATCAACCAGACAGGCCCAGGTGAGCCTGCAGCCCAGGGCCAGCAATGATTAACCACCTCAGGCCTGTGCTGCCAGCCTGCCCGAGGGGCTACCGGGCAGAGCACCTTCCCAAAATCAGATCTCAACATTCAGGGAAAAATCTGCCTCTAGAGCCACATGTGTGGGCCCTGGAGGAAGATTTGGGGGGAAAAACCAACCAGCTGTAAGTGTCACCAGCTTCCTGGGTGCCATGGGGTGAGCTAGGCGGGTAAAATACTCTTTCCAGTTGCATAATTCAACGTGACTTCATAGAATATCCTTCTCTGTAGTTCTTGTCCCTCTGGGTTTGTGATGCCATTGACTACCCAGGCTGCCTCACTGTCACAACAAACAACAGCGCGCAGAACCCGCACCCTAGACTGAAAAATGCCCAGCTCAGTTCCTCCACCCCATCCTCGTGCTACACAGAGACAAACAAAGCCAGCCCCCAGGCGTGTGTGGCTGCTGTTCCTCAGACTCGAAGTCCTCCCATCTCCCTACCACGTGCCTCCTTATTACCCAGATTTCAAAAGCCACATCTCAACAGCCAGGAAGGTTTCTCCCACAGGCCTCTGCTTCCCAGAGTAACAATCTGGCCCTCAAGTAAATATACAAATCTTCTCAGGTGATGATATGGTAATTCTTTCAGTGTTTACTAGATGCCAGGCATCCTTGTGTGCTTCCCTATATTAACTCATTTAATCCTTAAATGTGGTAAATACTATTGTCCTTATTTTACAGATGGGCAAGCTGAGGCAGATGGGTGAAGTAACATAATACACACTTGATCAATGTGACTCAAAGTGCTTGCGTCCATGAAGTTAAGTAAGAACACACAAATTTAACAAGGTGCTCTTGGCAAAAGGAAGAAATTAGCACCAGGGATTGGTGTGAAAGGGTGGATACAAATCTCCCTCACTCCATCCCACCCCTCAGTCTGGCTCCTCGTGAGCCAAGGCTGGCATTCCCCGGAAAATGTGGGCCCCCAGCACGAGCCAACTGCTTCACCTACTGTGATCACTTCAGGGCTGGAGGACACACTAGCTGGGTTCCCTCCCGAAGGAGGGGGCACCTTCCTATGGGACTTTTCCAGAGTGGCCGGCATACCAGACTTTGAGCTGCGCCTGGCACTCACTCTGCTGCTGCAGTCACAGTCCCCAGGTTCCTACTGTAAGCTAAAGGCAGCACAAACCTCTCTTCACTCGCACCTGGTCCTGAGGCAGGTCTTGTTATCCGTCTATTCAACAGGCTCAGATGAACTAGTTAAGTCACCCAACAAAGTGGCAGCACCAAAGACTGGTGCCCAGGAAGTCCAGGGCACGTACCTAACTAAGGGAGACAAGGCTGACAAGAGTTAAAGTTATAACGATTCATCCTCCATCCCAGGGGCTACAGTTTTTTGGCTGAGGGACATGATACACCAACTGAGTGTTACCTTGACAGGAGGTGGTGATCTAACCTCCTGATGCAGGGTGAACTCTGACCTTTTCCCAGAGGCTGGGGTTCGGCACCTGATTGAGGGGTGGGCAGCAGGGCGAGGAGGGATCACTCTCAAGGTTCTCCCCACAAGGCCCTGCCTCATTAGTGAAGGGCGTTTGTGTTCAGACTGAACCAGGTCAGATGTGTCCAAATGCAATGTGGCAGACCGAAAAGTGAGTGGCACCCCCAATTAGACTCAGAAAAGTGGCCCTGGAACACCACCCCGCCCCCACGCCATCCATAAAATCTCAGAAGTGATTCTGTTCATTTCCTCCAGGCTGGCACCAGCAACAGAGCTATTTCACAACACCTTGTAAATGTTAATTACATTAATTAAACTCACAATGCGGCAAGAGGGGTTGGCGGGTATGACCAGGAAGTAGTTGGGAGGGGGCCACTTGGGCATCTCTGGCCCACCATCAGTCCCCCACGGCTTACCTTAAGATATTCCCACCTCTCCTGTTTAAAAATGTCTTCCCTGCAGCCTGAGAGGGAAATCTAGACTTCGGAATCTCTCCCTTGGAGGGCACAAGTCTTTCTTAGCTGTTCCCACTGTCCAAGATTCCAAAAGAACAGCTGGAAGAAGCAATTACTATTGCTTCTATGTACCTCACCAAAAAACAAGCTACTCTTATGATTGCCCCACTTTGCAGATGAGTAAACTGAGGCTCAGGGAAAGCAGGTCAGCAGACCCCCTGCCCAGGCTCACACAGCAATTAAATGATGGGGATTTAGGCTGAATCCAGGGGACAGATCTTGAAAACACCTCAAAAACAATGTGGTAACGATAGTTGTAAAAGTTAAGCCCAAGGAGGAACACCACCCAGGTCTGGGGAGAGGCAGGGAGGCACCAAGCAGGGAGGAGGGCAAGTACAAAGGCAGAGAGGGGCCAGACACGGGCTGCCCACCTGGCTGGTAGAGCACAAGGTCCCGGTTCATTGCCTTTGCCTGATAAGGAATCTCCACGAAATTCCAGAAAAGATCAGAGTCACGGGAAAGCAAAAGCCTTCAATGTTTTTCTCAAACCCCAGTTTTATCACCTGTAAAACTGGCATGACCCCGCCTAATTGATTCCCTGGGTGGTTAGTGCTAAGGGTCCCAAAGCAGATGACAAAACCTGTGACGTGGAGCTTACGCATTCTCCTGTGCCACTGTGCCCCTTTCCCAGCTGTGCCTTACACAAAGCAAAGCATCTCTTCATCCCCGAAGATTCAGAAGGCATCTGAGAATTGCTCAGTACCTCCAGGTCGTTGGCTACATGCACCACTGACTTCATACAGTAAAACCAGGGCCTTGGCAAACTTACCACAATTATCAAAACAGTTGATCCCAATAGGGGTTAAATT